CTCTACACCTTTGCACATGCGATTTCCTCTTCATGGAAGCCCTTCCCTATTCTGCCGGTAGGTAGAACTCCTCACTTTTTGTCAAGGCCTGGCTCAGACGTCAGCTCCGCCAGGAAGCAAGCTCTGCCTAGGCTTGTTTGGGACAGAGGTCCCTCTCTGAACACCTGGGGTCTGGCTCAGCATGCATTTAACTGTGCCTTCCGTGAGGGAGGCCCGTGACGTCGGCCTGGGGAGGCCATGAGCCAGTGGGAAAACTCGAGGGCAAAGGTCGCCTGGCACAGCGTAAAGTGGACCCCTCACACATCAGAGGCCATTTGTGAAGGGCTCCTGTTCTGCTCAGAGCAGCCTCTGCAGGAGAGGCTCTGCCTGCATCTGAGAGGAAGGACCAAATGGGCCTCTGAAGGCCCGCTATAGGCAGAACTCTGAGGCAAACCTATCTTTGAGCAGACAGAGGTGGAGGCAACACTAGGCCTCAAGGAGGCCATGGGGCTCAGTGTTTAGGAGCACGGGCTTCAGACTCAGCCACGCCTGGGCCTGGATCCCAGCGATGCTGCTTCTCGGCATAGAAAATGGGTACTTGGCATATTGCAGTAAATGCTCACTGACACTGTCACTGTGTCGCTCAACCAAACCCCGTTTCCTCTAGGCACGGCCCTCAACTCTCTGGGCATTCGGGCCATCCCCAGTCCCCTGCTCAGAGGCCAGCTCTCTCTGTCACGCTCTGATGGATTCTCCAGCGTGGGCCCTGGTCAGGGCAGAAAGGGAGGTTCAGAGAGGCTGAGTGGCCTGCCCAAGGCCACACAGGCAGTAACACAGAGGGCTGGGACCTGACACCAGGTCTTCCCATTCCAAGAGCAGGGCTCCATCGCCTGCACCCTTGTGTGAATGAGACATGTGGTTGGATGTCAACTAGATGTGGCAGGCATGACGATCAGGGTCTGGCTGTTTTAAGCACAAGAGGGTTAGGAAATCACTGTGGAAGGTGAACTGTCATAAAGGGGACACTCTCGCTGGTGACCATGGTCTCTTTTCCCACAGAAGAGCCTGAGTCATGTTTTCCCTTTTAACCCCAGGGAGCCTCTCTGCAGACTATTTCCTCTGCCTGAATGTCCTGCCCCATCCAGGAGGATCATTTGTTTTCTTTTATCTACAGGCTATTTCCCCTTCCCTGGCAGCCATTGTCTTATTTCTTCTGGGGAATCTCCTAATCCTTAATTTACATGCATTCTGGGATGCCTGGGTGGTGTGAGTGGTTGAGTGTCTGCCTTTGGCTGAGTTTGAGTCCCGCGTCAGGCTGCCTGCATGGAGCCTGCTTCTCCCTCTGCCTGTGTCTCTGCTTCTCTGTGTGTGTCTCTTATGAATAGATAAATAAAACCTTAAAAAAAAATCTACACACATTCTACTCCAGTCCCTAGGCTGGCTCTGACCAGCCCAGCTACTGATCCAAGATGAACCAATGAGACTTTTGCTTAGATTGCTAGGGGTGTTCTTTTTCCTGAAGCCACTGAGCTGACCTGTTGGATACAGCTTGGAGCTGTGGCCACCACTGTGCCATACACCACCCTGCTTGGGCACGAAGAATGCTAAGAACTGGAGGAAGGCAGGTCCTCATTGACATTCTTGTCCCTGGATCCAGCCACACCTGAAGCCAAGAATGCTTAGACATCTGTTACATTTAGCTAATCAATGTTCTTTTTGAGTAATCCGTTTTGACTGGGGTTCTGTCATCTGCAACTAAAACAGTTCTGACTAAAACAAGATCTCACAGCCAGTAAGTGGCAGCATTTGGATCAAAGCCCAGGATCTTAACCACTCTATTAAACTGGCATCTTCTCTTCCTCTTATCTTTATGCCGGTTCCTAGAAGCAACCCACGCCCATCAATAATCCCAACAGCTGACATTTGCTCAGGGCTTGACAGCCCAGAAACTCACACACATCATCACTTAAAAAAAAAAAAGCAATTGAGATATACTTCATATACCATAAAATTTACCCTTTTGAAGGGTACAATTCAGTAGTTTTTAGTATATCCACAAGGCTGTGCAACCATGACTGTCATCTAATTCCAGAACATTTTTATCACCCCCAAAAGATACCCAGTACCCACTAACAGCCTCTTCCCCTCTTCCCCTCCCCCCGGCTCTTGGCAACTACTAATCTGCTGTCTCTGTGGCTCTACCTGTTCTGGACACACATCAGCACTTCTAACTCCACATAAACCTTGTGAAGTAGCCACTAGAGAGAGAGGGGCACTAGAAGCACGGTGGCTAAGAATGTGGTATCTGGTGTCACCTGCCCAGTTTCAAATCCAAGTTGTGACGCTCACTAGCTGTGTGGCCTTGTGCAAATGATGTATCTTCTCTGAGCCTAAGATTCTACATCTATGTAATTTAATAAGCTTAACATGAATATTAAATTAGTCATTATACCTAGATGCTTAGCAGTCAGTGCTCCAGAAATGCCAGCTGTTTCTATTGTCATTACCTCATGTTACTGACAAGGACAGTCAGGCCACAAAGGGGTTAAGGGATGTGCCCAAGGCCACACAGCACAGGTGGCTGGGCCCCAAGTCTCCTGACTGAGTCCTCTGCTTTTTCCATTACGCCACACTACCCTAGCTGTTCCTCCACGAAAGCTTGGCCCTTCTCATACTCTTTTGTGCCAAGTTACTTTTGGAAAAGCCAAGGCTACTCGCCAGACGGGAGGAAGGGGAGGGTGGGATCATGATATCATCTCACTTTAGGGTATCAGCCCCATGCTGGCCGGCCCCCTTGCTTGGTCCTTGGAAACAGCTGAATTTGGCTGGTGGGGTCCTCCTCTGGGATGTGGGGGTGGGGGGTAGCAGGCTGTTTCTAGGACAGCAGGACCCTCTGTGGAGTTCCATGACTTTTTCATTCCAGCCACCCATCGGGACTCTTTAAGGCTGGCTGAGGCACTGCCTTTAGACTAATAGGGAGGGGAGTCTGAGGCAGCTGTTTATGTTTTAGCAAACCCCCAATTATTGCCAATTATGCTGAGTGGGGAAGAAAACCTCACTTTTAAGTTCTGGTAGAAATAAGAAAGTTGAGTCAGAACAGAAGAGTCGAGGGAGGACAGGCTTTGAGCCAGGGAGGCTCGTGATTATACTCTGGCTCAAGTGTTCCCAAATGATGTCACCTCGGGCAAGTCTCATCTGAACAAGAGGGACAGCTAATAACAGCTAATGTGGTTACTGAGACAGGCACGTCGTGATTGACTGTCACAATGAATGCATGAGGAAAGTGCTTGTGCTTTCATTCTTAACATGCAGATGGGGAAACTGAGTGAGTCTCAGAAACATACAGAGGTGAACCAAGCTGAGACCTGAAAGGTAAAGCTGAGATTTGAACCCAGTCTGTGTAACCCCAGAAGTCAAGGTCTAAAGCCCTGGGTATGATGCCTCACTGGCTGCAGAACAGCAGCAATGAACATTTCCATATGTACTTCCAAGGCTTCATCCCCGCCCCCCACCCCCGCCTGTCCTTGTCCAGACCTGCTCCTCCAGATGATGCTGGACCAAACCCCCTGACCCCTGCGGCTATAGCTGACAGGCTCGGAGGTGGACCTAGGACCCCTGGGACAAACAGATTCTCTCTCTCTCCTGGAGACTGGACTCAGTACCTAAAAGGCCAGAGTGCTGACTACAGGGAAGGATACCTCACTTGGGGAAATGAAATGCTACCTGGGGGATGTGGGGCAATGGGTTGGGGGAGGAAGCTGGTACAGAGGGGCTAGCAGGAAAACAAAGTCAGCTTCATGGGAGACTCTGTGGCCACAGTGACAGATGGCTGAAGAGCTGATAGGCCTCCAAGGGTCATTCAGTTGCTGGTTCTGGGGCCCTGTGAGGCCAGCTGCATTTCCTGCTCTGGGCTCCGTGGGGGCACACTTGCCTCCTCCCATAAATCTACCCCACTCCTCTCTTCCTGCCTGAGCTGCCCAGGAGGTATTTGCTCAGTGTGGATGTCCCTAATCCTCAGGATAGCATTCCTGATCATCATTGCCACAGTTCTATCATCTCGCTGTTCTCTGCCCACTGTTATCCTTTTGGAGGTGTTAGGCAAGCAAGAGGCATCTTGGAAGCAAATTCAGGTAGTCCTCTTTACACAGACCGTGCGTGAAAAGTCAGTGTAGAAACTTGCAAAGGTGTTTACCCAACTTTCAATCTCTGACCTGAAGACCCGCTGTAATAGATCTGCATAGATCACCCCTGCTTCTGGGTAAGACGGTGTGGATCTCAGTCATTCTCAGACAGGACTGTAGCCCCTGTTTATTGTGTTCATCTTCCTTGCCTTTCCGCCAGGGTTCGGCCCCTTCTTGGTCCCTATGCTGCTCCTGCCAAGTCTGTTTTAGATAGTATCTTAGCATCTTTAACATATAGTCTCTTTGTGTATTTACATGTTCACTGTAGACCAGAAGGAAAATATAATTTACATATGGTACTATTTGATTTTGTTGCATTTTGTGAACACAAAACATAACGAGTTCAGTGCATTTTAATAATTAGGTAACTGGTGTCTCAGTTGGTTTACATTACGCAATGACTCTTGGCAGTTTGTTATGTAGGCGTTTGAGATTGTTTTAGTGATATTGGGGAACTGGTTAGAAGCACATTATTATCTCGCCTCCCCCCTTAAAATAATGAAATACAGATTCTGAAAATTCTTTATCCAACATTTTTAGGAATGGATTAGTTCCATACAACCAAGGCTGTGGTTAATATCACTCAACCTTCTGAAAGAACATGTGAGGTCAGAAGATAGGATGGTGTGCAGAGGACACTGTGTTCACTGGGACTTCTGGGAAGTGACCTTTTATTCCTTCCTGCTGAGTATAAGCCCAGAGGATTTTGTAACCCTGTGGGATCTGAGGATAAAGCCAACACCACAAAAGCAGGATGCAAGGAAGGAGCTGGGTGAGGTGGTACTGTGGAAACCCTGGATCAAGCTGTGCTTGAAGCCAGGCAGGTTTTTTTCTCCTGGGAAGTCAAACATGTGCTCCACAAATTTGTGGGTCATTCTTGCATAGGAACCATGTTAATTTCTGTATCATTTCAATTTCAGTACGTGTGCTGCTGAAGTGAGCAGCACATGAACATCATTTTTAAGTATGGGAAATAAAAAGGAACACTATGTGTCCACTATGCGTGAGAGTCTAGGCTTTGATATCAAAATGGAAAGTTAGTCCATTTAAATTTTTTCCTACACTGCAGTTCATTGGACACTCCAAATCCTTACCTGGAGGTCAAAGAACTTGCTGTAGCGCCGGTAAATGGCCTCCGTGGAGCCGCTGGACCACGTAACCCGGATGATATAGACCTACAGAGAGAGAAAAAGCAGATGGGCATTAACACCAAGGGAGCCCTTCCATTTCCAGGACTCTGGAGCAAAGCACAGGGTTCTGTCAGAAAGACCTGGATCTGAGTCTGAGCTCTGCTGCCATCCAGCCATATGGCTTTGGACAAGTCATTTGCTCTCTCTGGGCCTCAGCTTCCTTCTCAATAATATGGGTATAACCCCCACCTCTGAGAACTATACAAAGGATTAAGTGAAATCAAGAATGGGAAAGCATTAGCACCCTGCTCATCTCAGAAGATGGTGTTATTTGCAGCACTGTAGGGATTTCCTGCCTTCCATTCAATCCAGAGAGCCGCAGGGCTGGCTATTTTTTGTCATTCTTAAAGCTTTGCCTTTTGTCAGAAGTCACAGAGACTGGCAGCGCTTAGCCCTCTCATAGTTCTCATAAGCTCATAAGAGGTCTCATCAGACCTCTTCCACCAGGCAGGGCCCAGGCCAGGTCACTTCTCCCTCCAAGTCAGTTTCTGCATCTGTGAACTGGGCTGATAGCATCTGCTTAGTGTGACAGTGTGAGGATCTCATGTGACTGAGGACGGGGAAGCACTTCACAAGACACAGCCCACACAAAACACAATGTATGATGACAAATTTGGGCAGAGTGACGTGGCAGTAGCTCAGAGGCTCCTGTCAGAGGTGGTGTCTAATGCGGCTCTCTGCACACCACTGTTCACTGGGGATGAGAAATCAGCCCATGCATAACCCATTCTTGACTTGCACAAATGATCTGTGGCTGCTGGGCTGAAGTATATATGTGAAAGCTCTTTGGAAACGCAGAAAATGCTGTATAAATATGAGGGGTTCAGTGTTGTCAGAGGCCATGAGTTAAGGACTGGCTGGAGAGACACCACTTAATAGGCAAAGAACCCCCCCTCCCACCCAGCACACAGCACGTTAGATGCCAAGTGCCATTCACTATCCATGGTGATTGGTTGAGAAATGAGCACATGACCTGTACTGAACCAATCAGAGCCAGTAAAAGTCAGTTCTGGGGCTTTTGCTCCAACCCTTGAGAATGACCACTTCTCTTTTCTTTGAAATTGCTGGGCTGTCAGGATGGGAATCTGGAGCTGCTGGGGGCTGTCTCATCACTGCTTAGAAGGAACCTGTCTGAGAATGAGCCCAGCATCAGTAGATTTCTGTAATAGTCTGACCCTGAGGTCCAGCTCTGCTTGAAGCTCAATCTACTCCTGGTCTGTCAAGTTTCCTGAGCTAATAAATGTTGGGTCAAACCTGTCTTCTCAAATTGTTTTTGAAGCCGGTTTAAGTTGGGTTTCTGACACATGTAATCTAGTCCTGACCGATGCAGGATGAGAGGTGGGGAGAGCTCTCTGAAGCCTGGAATCATCACTGTGCACTTTGAAGGACCTGGAAACTTTACTAGGAAACTTCATTCAAAATGCGACAAAGTGGAGCAACTATGGGGGGGTCGGGGCCAGAGACCAGTGTGAATGCCAGGGACTTGTGGGAGAAGGTTCTCCAGGCGAGAAGACATGAATAATGGGAACAAATATTAGGACAAGATGGGAAGTGCCCTTGAATGCCAAGCCAAGTTCACCAGGAATGACCTCTCCAAATCCAACATGCATTTTCTTTCAAAGAAGCTTGATAGAGGGGAAAAAACAAGGGCTCTAGAGTCAAGAAGCTCTAAACTCATACAATTTCCTAACCCTCAGAGCCACAGCTTCCTTAACCACAAAATGGTATCAGCAAGTCTATCTCATACCAAATTGTGATGACTATTGGAGGTCAAGCTCTGAGCTCTTTGCCTAGCAGACAGGAAAAGTTCAAGAACTTTTAGTACCCTGTACTCAGATTCTCCAATGCCTGCCCCACCCCTCTTCATAAAAACAAGCTATTTCAACATCAGGGATTTGGGCATCTGGGCTCACCGCCCCACCTCCCTTGTTTGTGCTCCCCAGTCCTGGGGGCCTCACAGAGCCAAAAAACAACAGGTCAAGGCATCTTTTAGGAATCACCTTAAAAGGTGATTTTCTGACCAAGAAGAACTGTGTCTCCAAAGCCACCTGGGTAGTTGTTGTTTTTAAGACTTAAATTCTGCTCAAGACTCCAGTATAGAGAGAGATTTTGAATGGCTACCACTTGTCATTCGTTTGTTCAGTGTACAACATTTATTAAGTACCTCTTGCATGCCAGGTGCTCTGCTGGGTGCTGGGATATGAGGAACAAGACAGACCTAGACTTTGCCCTTGGAGGGTGGGAAGATGAGCAACAGACCAGCCGGACAAGCAAGCATGTATGTAATTTACACGTATGTAAGTTACAGTCAGCGCTTCTGAAGGACGCCAGCACCTGCTGTGAGCGCACCATGGGGGAAGGCAGGGCAGCTGGGTGTCCTTGGAAGGGAAGGCCTATCTGAGGAAGCCAGCATTGAACAGAGACCTGAAGGATGAGGAGCTGGCCAGGAGAAGAGCCGAGAACAGAGTATTCCAGGCATTGAGAAGAGGATGAATAAGGATACAGAGGCCAGGAAATGCTGGACATGTCTGAGGTGTAGGAAGACTGTCACAGCAAGCAGAGCTGGTGAGAGGAGGCAGTGGCATCACGAAGGGCTTGCAGGCCACAGGGAGGAGATGGGATTTTGTTCTAATAAAGAGTTTCAAGGGGTGTGTGTGTGTGTGTGTGTTTAACATGATTTAAAATCATGTTTTTTAAAACATGATTGTTAAAAAAAAATATTTTCCTATATATCCTTCTGGCCACTGTGTGAAAAATGGTTTGACGAAGAGCAGGGACACTACTAGGGAGGCTTTTCCATCACTGAAAGGGACTCAGCCAATCTTAGGGCCCCAACATCTAGATGAGTAAATTGAGGCCCAGAGAAGACCATACCAACAGTCCTGTCACTAGGGGGTGCTTAAGCAAAGTCTTGATGACTATCTGTCATGAACAATGCTAATACAGATGAAAAAAACAAAATAAAAGACTGATCATGAAAGTTTCATTGTTTTCCTAAAACCAAAATGGAAAAAAAAATTCTTACACAATTCATTCTCCATCACTTGTTTATAGTTTTTAAAGTTCTGTACATACGGTACAAGGACTCTGCAGTAGTCCTAATTGGTTTATTGGAATCAACCTCTGAGCACAATTTGATGTCTGTATTTTTAGGCACAGATAACTTTTTAATGAGAATTGTCCCAATGCAGTCCTTATCCAGGATTTAGGGGTGGGTGAAAGGGCACACCCACTGAATTCTGACGCCAGCCCTGCTGCTGGGGGAGACTTACAGGCACCAACCTCTTTGGCCACAGCATCCTTCTCTTGAAAAGAGGGTTAGTAATTTCCCTTGAGGATTCACTGCAATCGCTAATATATTTGCCCAATGCCTGGCACACAGGAGGTATGCAAAGTTAGTAGCAGTTGTCCGATATGCCTGCTTATCTGGTATTCCCTTTCTTGTCTTGGTAATTGCACCTAATTTCCTTTGGAATGTCACCCCTCTCCCTCCCCTAGTCTTTGTGATATGGAGTGGGCCTGTGTCCTGGGTCTGGCCAACCAGACTGTTGCTTATCCCTGGTCATAGCAGTGGTTCAGGGATGGGCATGTGACCCAAGCCAGGCCAATGAGACTCAATTCTTGGACTTTTGATGGCATGATCAGGGAAGAACCCCTTTTCCCCACCTCAAGGGCTAACTGGGAAGAAAACTATGTGAAAAATATCTGTCACACAGGAGCAAGCAGCCAAGAGGGAGAGAAGGGGCCTGAGTCCTGTGACATCATTTGAACCCCCAGATCCAACATCCTGGACATCACTGACATAAGCCAAAACCTTCATTTTCTGGTTTAAGCCACTTTTATTTCTGTTACTTGTAACCAAAGCAATCTGAACACATTTGATCTTGACTTTTAGATTATATCCCAAGCCCAGTTAACACTCATTGTCCTGACATTAAGGAATTAAAAGCAGACTTCTTCATGGCAGCATTATTCACAATAGCCAAATGATGAACAAAATGTGTTGTATACATACAATGGAATATTATTCAGCATTGAAAAGGGCATTCTGACTCATGCTATAACATGGATGAACTCTAAGGACATTATGCTAAGTGAAATAAGCCAGTCACGAAACACAAATACTATATGACTCCACTTACGTGAGGTACCGAAAATAGTCAAATTCATAGAAACAGAAAGTAGAGTGGTGGTGACCAGGGGATGGCGAGAGGGATAGGGAGTTAGTGTTTAATGGGTATGGAGTTTTCAGTTTGGAAAGATAATAAAAGTTCTGGAGATGGACAGCAGTGATTGCATAACAGTGTGAATATACTTAATGCCACTGACCTGTACACTTAAGAATGGCTGCATTGGTACAATTTACATTATATGTATTTTATCACAGTTAAAAAAATAATTTTTAACAAAAGTAGATTTCCTGCAGATTTATGTAGTCCATGTCATGTTCCCCTGGAAATGACACTGAAACTTTCTCCATGGAATAGCCCTCAAGACATATGCTGCATATCCAGGAAAAGATTTATATTCAGAACATATTTTTACAAAAAAAACTCTCAAAACTCAACAGTAAGTAAACAACCAACACAATCACAAGATGAACAAGAGATCTGAACAGACCCTTCACCAAAGAGGAGATACGGATGGCAAATAAGTACACAAGACGTTCGACATCATTAGCCAACAGAGAAAGACAAACTGAAACCATGATGAGATATTACCACATATCTCTTAGAATGGCTAGAATAAAAAGTACTGACAAACAAAAACAAGTGCTGACAAAAATGTGGGGTCACTGGAACTCTCATCCATTGGAGGGAAAGCAAAATGGCACCACCACTCTGGATGGATGGGAACTACTGGGTGAAAGGCTGTTGATAAGGATAGTCACACCGTGTGAGATTATCACCCCATGGATTACTTTCCTAGCAAAGGGAAGAATGTACCTTTTCAATGGAGATCTGGTGGTTAAACTCCAATGAGGT